GGTGGGAGGGGAGAAAGAGAGGGGGGGGGGGGGGGCCAGGAAGATGCTATTTTTTTTCGCAAGCGGCGAGTGCGAGTTTTTTTTATAAAACTCCATCAGTTGGGTCCAACATCACCTCCCGTGACTTTCATGTGGATCCCATGCTCGGAAGTCGAGATTCAGCATTCTGAAAAATCCTGGGTACACCACTGGTATGAAATCGACCCAAATGAGTTATTAATACTCTGAAAAGTTCACTAGAACTCATTGTGTTCAAAATTTTTACACCCAGATTCAGTTAGCAGGAGAATTTCAGACCGGAACCGGACGAACTCTACTGCTTTCAGACACTAGAAAAACTGATTTTCGAATTTCGATTTACGACTGTGCATAGAGACAGGTCTGAACAAGAATAGGTTTTTGCGAATGTTTCTATTCTAAGATACAACTATAGTAACGGCGTGTCTTTTACATTGTTCGTATTTCATGAGAGTGATAAAATCAATGCAAAATTTCAAATCAATATTCGAAAATTTCAAATCTACCATAAAAGTGCAGTATCTCTACAGCAATAAGCTAGAGGTACGAGCTTTTGTTCGAATATTTATAGCTCATTTGGATCTACATAATGCAAACAGTTTTAATTGAAAAGTGATTTATCCATTGGATGACTTCTGATGTTAGAATTTCGAGTAGAATATATCTCTAATTGCTCAATAATTAAATTTAGATCATCTAACGATGTAGATTTGTATTCAAAAATGTTGATTGAAAAACCTGTAGTCTACGCTTCAATCTGTCTTCATCACCTCTTTCTAAAAAACTGAAAATCACAGGTCTCTAGCTAAGTTATTCAAAATATTTTCTTAATCATCTTCTTTCTCTTTGCAATGCACATTAGTATAATCGTATAAAAGAAACTATATAACTAAAAGCTTACATTTCACTTTTGCTTCAGTATAGAAAATTTATTTATCCTCAGATATCTACTGTTCATATTCATAATCAAACTATCTTTTAATAAAAGATTAATGTTGTCACACGAAATTTTGTCATTCTTAATATGTTCAATATCCTGAATAAATAATTGATAATATTTAAATAATTTTTTTTAAATTTTATTTTGTTAGTTTAACTGAAGATCATAAACGAATGATACGATGTGTACGTAAAATGCAATTAATTGTTGCTCGTAATCGATTTCAAGTAAATAAAATTTTTTTTTGTTTATTTTATATTTTTAAATAATTTTTATTTCTTCTAGCAAGCAAGAAAACCATATGATGTACGTGATGTACTTGAACAATATTCTCATGGACATATAAATATGATGATGAGAATAAAAGAATTACAACGAAAGTAAAAAATATAAATATATTTGTCTATTATTATCATCTATAGAAGTCTGTTATTATTATTATTATTTTTTGTTTTTTTATTGATTTAGAATCGAACATACAATCGGTAAACAAGCACCCGTAGCAATTGAAGATCGTGCTAAATTAACTGTTCTTGCACGAATGCAACGTGTTGAAGGTACAATGAATGTTATGGGAGAAACAATGGGAAATATTTTAAGATTATTAAAAGTTGTCGACGAAAAACTTGATCGAATTTTGCCAAATGATAATAGTTCGACAAAATTAATTTTATCACGAATGAATGCAAAATATGCTTCGACACAAGAAGCAATATTATAAAAATTAATATATTGTCTTTTGAAAAACATAAAAGAGAAAACAAATAAGAAATTCAGAGATCAGAAATAAGTTGATTGGTAATTTCATATTGATTTGAAATAAAATTTTTTGTTTGTCTTAAATTTGGATACATTGATAATGTAGTAGTTGTTTGTAATGGTAATCGATGCAATGGAATTTTTAATTCATCATTTAATTTTACATGACTTTCAGGTTTAGACTTAATTGTTTGACCAAGAACAAATGATAAATGATCATTTAATTGTTCTGTTGAATATAAAGATGAATTCATTTGATTTTTTCGAGATATTGAATAGCGTTTATATGAAATAAAATTATACATTAAATAAAATAGAAGAATAAATAGAAGAATAGTTAATAATAATACAACATATGTGCCAGTATGATCAGCCACTGGTTTAGATGATAAAATAAATATTTGATGCATTTGATCAGAAAGTGTTATATTTGATTCACCCATTGCAAAAGATAGAATTTTGGAATTTTGTTTGCAAATAGTCTATTCTCTTGTCTTTCTCTTTTATATATCTTTTTTTTTTCTCTTGAAAATGTCAATCTACATTCAATTAGGAACTTAATAGATCGATCGATAATAATATAATAGATTTATCAGAAAAACAAATTCCAATGTACCTATCAATGTTATTGACCGTTTTTGTTCACGATTATATTGTGCATTATAATCATGTAATTTTTTTTTGTTTTGATCAAGAACAACTTCTTCAGTTGTCGATTGTCTTGCTTCTTCATTTAGATTCATCGGGCACCATTCTTTTGTTTCTTTTTCTTTCTCAGCACTAAACAAATCTATTTGATTATTTACGCACTTCAAATAGACAAGAACATGTCAGAGAATCGTCGCTTTCAGTTAATACTCAAATGACACATATTATCAATAATTTTTGTTATAAAAAAAAAAAAGAACATTGAGACAATATCGAAGAGTAAGTTCTAGTTCGATGATTATGAAATACAACTTTGACAAATATGTAAATCAAAATAAAGAACCTAGCAAAATATAAACCTAATTGAATCATACAAAGATATTTCTGATAAAAATAAATCATCAGTTTTTTTTGTGCAAACAGCTGTATTTGACAACAAAAGAAAGTCTAGACATACATCATTGGCATAGTAATTATTCATAAAAACATTAGTAGCCTTGGATAAAAGGAGAAAAGACTAATTTTTATATTAATTATGGTATTTATGTATATATCGGAGTTGGCACTAGTATTGATCTAAGTGGTCATACCAACATGAGTCATTTTTTACTTTTCTAAATCTATAACAGTCAAATCGAACTATCGATTCATCGCATTTGCTTCATAATCACTACAGTAATTACATACAAGTTCTGTTTCACTACTATAACGTTTCTCATATTTTTTTTACTTCATTACTGATTCTCACTCAAATTGAAGAAATAAAACAAGATTCGTATTCAGCATAGAGATATGCTCTATGCAGATCTATCATATCGTTCATGTATCTGAAGTCCGTTTCGTTTATCTTGGGACATTTAAATACACCATTTTATGGAGCTTTTAAAGTTCTATTTATTCGTTCGTTTCAATTTTAATTTCGATGTATCTTGTGCAAGACAATGAGCTACTTTCGTGCGAAGTCTTGACAACTAGGAGAGTGTATGAATTGTCACACATTCCTATTTATGGAAGTAACCATTCGATGAGCATTAATGTCCTATCAATCGTTCAGTTTTATTCTCTCGTTTCTTCCACACTTTTAGAAAGCTCAAATATCTAAATATACGAACTGCTCTTTCATATTCTTAGATCATACTAGAAACTTAACGACAAACGGATAATCGTTCGATGATAAATATCCTTATTTCTGTTAATGACCGAATAAGACGAGACTAGAGGATTTAGCTACTACTATTCTGGCTCCTTCTAGAAGGCTTTGAGCCTCTCCTGGAAACATAAGCAGCAAGATCTTCTCCCATTCAACAGACATGCTCACATAACGGAGTCCTTTGGAAATTTCTTCTGGTTATACTCCTACTCGCCGTCATATTAAGATAATATGTCAGCCTAATTCATGAAATGAAGCGAGGATTTGTTGGGAACTATGAATCCTGTTATTATTAACTATTACCTTCAACAACATTTTCTTACTTATAATATAGTAAGAAAAATATAAATGTAGAATTTGTTTTTCTTTGTTTTAAGAAAAAGAGATTTTCAGTCGTCAAACGAACATTTTTCAACCTTGACACGGATAGTATAAATAAAACAGAAAACGACAAAAATCATAAAACCAAAAGAAATAACATTATAATCTAAATCGACAATAAGGATAAAATGTAATTAGAGTAAGACCTAAAAATAACACAATGAAACTAATAAAACTAATAATAATAATAACAAATAATTCATCTTTGATACCAAGTAAGAGTAATATCGTATAATGATGATATTGACACGTCAACCACCAATAGTTTTTATCAAGTGCTGACAAGAAGGGCATTGGTACTAGGGAATGGTTTATTTGTAGATTAAATTATAGCGAAGTTTGTTTTCAGTCGTTGATTTTACCTTTCTGTATGGAAAATTTTATGTGGTTTCAACGTAGGTCAGATAGTTTATTAGTGTAATGTCTGATATTAATTGTGTCGGAGTTCAATGAAGTACTGATAGAAAATGCAAATGAATGGTGAGGTGAAGTATTGAAGTTGGAATTAAAAGAAACAGCAGAAATGGGTTTCTTGTAATGTTGTGCATATTAGCTGGAGTATTGTTTGTTGTCTACTCTAAATTTTTCTAATCAGGTGACATATATTGGGCAAACTCGAATGCTCGGAATATCAACTGTTTAAAGCTCTTCTAATTTGCTCCATCGAAACTGATCGAAGATGGATACGTCAAGAGCATTGAGTGACAGATTGGGATATTAATTCATTATCAAAAATATCTTGTAACAAAAACCATAAAGAAGAGTAAAATAGAATATTTATGCATAAAATATTCGAAACAATCTTGGTGTAATTTTGAATTTATTTATTAATTATAATTATATATTCCAGAATTCAATCAATTGTATAACTATACGAGATAAGAAAAGTGGTGTGATATATCGAATGAATAATATTGAATGGAATACATATCGAGTCCGATAATTTTATGCGGGACGGGTCAAAGAGTAAGAAAATACAAAAATGTTTTTTCTTAATTTCATTTCTATACATCAATAGTAAAAATTCTTATTTAAACCGCATATACTAGATAATAGTAGTCAAAGACGTAGCATATTATCTGTCTCTGTGCTCAATAGTTTGTTTCAAAAATATACTGGTGCATCTCGTATACTTCTATGTGAATGGAATAGAAATTACTACTTTCTGGTTGAATTCGATTACTACTTTTCGTCTGATTGCACAGATTTGTAGAATAAACCATATTTGTATTCTTTTTTGCTTTGTTTCATCTTAAAGGAATTCAAAAAGAAAATAATACAAGCCGATTTATTTTGCAAATCGGTTCAATCAGACAAAAAATCGAAATAAGATACATCGGTATACTCTTAAAACAAATTTTTGGGTCCATAAACTGATAATATTCTACGCCTCTGACTACTAGTCGGCTTGCCCACGTAAAGTGATATAGAATTCGATGCAGTGTTTAATTCTCTATAAAGTTGCCTATTTATTGTTGACTTTCGTCGCTAACGATAACTTGTAGATTCTTCTACAATTAATGAGCTCCCATATTGGTCTAGCAACTTGATTCTTGCATAGAACGATTAGATACACAGAAAAGACTAATATTTATGAAAATCAAATATTGCTGAACATGTTAAGTGCCTCAAAATTAATCGACATACCTTTTAACAGCCTGTTCAATAGTCTACAAAATTGGCTTTCGAGGTAGGGATGTTAGTTGCCGATTCCGTATCTAAAAATCCGTAGCAACCTACCATAAAAAAGGCATATAAGAATATTGAGATAGCTCAGTTTGGTTGCAAGTCCATTTAAAGCATTGTACAATGTGTTTGTGTTTCTTGAAGAACAGAAATCTAAGTAACACAAACACTAACATTCTTAACGAAAATATTGTTAAATCTCATGACTCCTTTCGCTGTCTCGGACAAAGTGAGACATCGTAATATCTCGATTTGTGAATCTCTGCGTCTTTCGGAACATTGAATTATACAAAGAACGAAAGGATAAAATATTTAAGCATTAATCAATTGATTCCATCCTTTATATAATAATTTTTAGATAATTTATTATTTTTTAACTATTCTTTTTCAAATAGTGTTTTTTTCTTTTACAATAATTCATTTGATAAAATTCCTAATTCTGAGGAATATTGGTTAAATTTTATTTCCTTCATTCTACTATGTTTTGTTTGATAGAGGGTTCAAAAAAAGTGATAACGTATTTGTTTCTTGTCAGTTCTCAAGCTTATGAAATATAGTATGACTCAAATCACTTTTATTTTTAGTATTTGTATATCAAAGTAAAAGTATAACAGCATATATGAATACATAAATTCTCAATGATTTTTTTTTACAGTTCTTCTGGTTTCTTTTATTGCTTTTAGTGCCTGTACTCCTTTAATATCTTTTAAAAGGAGTAAAGATGTAAATTTTATGATAGGCCAATAAAAAGTAAAATAATACGTAATAAATCTCTCTTAAAGATCGAATAATAAACAATCAAATCAATAAAACTAAATGATAATGCTCAGAATACTTAGTATTTATATCAAAAATGCAATAATTATCGAACTTAACATACTCATCAGTATGAGATACTATATTTATTATACGATATTGAATACGGCTACCATTTAAGGGATCAGTGAAAGAGATGAAATTATCAGTAAGTAAAATGATTAATAAGTCAATAAAATAAATTAATGATTGGTAAATTATTTCAATGACCCGTTAGCTACACAGTATGGGTGTGGCTATTGAAAACAATACCGATCGGTGAGAAAAGAGAAAAAACTGATGATTTTATAATTATTTACTGAATGAAAACTTATGTTTACATTGAATGTTTATAAATAATGCATTTCATCTTACGGCTGTCGATTGCATTGGTATATGTATTAGTTGAATATTCAAATTTGATTCAAAAAAAAAATTATCTACAAGTAACGTTCATCGACATCGAAGGTCGACTCACTGGGCCCTAGACTGACGGAATGAAGAGAAGAGTATGCTTCACAATGAGCACCCAGACTCAATGAAACGATTCGTCTCCCTCTCCAACTACCCGCCGTTCCATACATGCATCTGAAACAACGTCATGCTTTACGAGTATAAACAGTTCTTGGCGACTATAATGGTCATTTGTGCCATGGAGATGATCGTTTGTGTCAAGGTCTTGCTACAGACAGACACAGGTGAATTACGGTTTCTAGACCCTAGCCTTTCAGCCTAGGGAATGTATTATCGATTGTAATTTATAAACAAAATCTTAATAGGTAAATTGCTCAACGCTTTCGAACTAAATATTGTAGTATTAAACGAATAAATCTAATTGTTTTTTTATATTCCTTCATTCAGAGAAGTTTTATTTAGAAAGATAAACTTCTTTCCTATTAAATAAATTATTTGTCAGAATGACTATTCGAAAGTTTGTTAGTAATTTCAAGTATGTAGAAAGTATCAAATATATTTCTGTTTATTATTGTTTTAATTAATGAATTTTATTCTAAAGTTGACAAAAAAGTTAGTGATAAGAAAAAAATTTCATCCGTAAATTTGTAACTAACGTATTTTTTTTCTCATTTCGATAATATTTGTATTTAATATGTTAATCTTTTCACATTCTTCTTCTCGGTAATTCTCCATAATTTCTAGTGCTAATTCATACTGTTGCAAAGCAGATTTAAATTGTTTCTGTTTGTCATAAATACGAGCAATATTTGTATGATATTCACCTAAATCCTTGTGATTGCTTGTTAAACCTTTCTGACCGATTTCCAATGCTTTTGTAAAATGTTCAAGCGCTTCTATATTCTTCTTCATTTTTTCGAATATTATACCTAATGCATTCAACGTTGATGCTATCGAAGAATGATTTGATGGTAAACGCTGCATTTTATCCTTTAAAATCAATTGAAGATTTTTCAAAGCATTTTCATCATCACCGTATTCTGCTTGAATTTTTGACTTAAGACCCTTTATTGCAGTTATGAGTAAGGAATTCTTTGAGTGTACGGAATTTAACAACTTCTCTTCAGCTTTCATCTGTTGTTCTTCTGCATTTCGAGTTTCTCCTAAATCTACATAAGCCAAACCAAGATTATAATGAGTAACAATAACTTGAAGACTATCGTGGCAGTTCAATTGAGAATAAATATTAAGAGCTTTCTCATAAAATTCAACAGATTGCTCATGATGATGAGTGTCATTATTGATAAGACCAAGTAAGTTGTAAGCATTTCCAATTCCTTTATCATCTGGTGGAAGTTGTTTAAGTATATATTCCACATAACGTTGAGCTTTGTCATATTCACTCATTCGAAAAAGAAACCAACCGAATGACAATGGATCTGGTTCTGACCCAATTTGTTTCATCATGTGATTCGAAAGGCTTTGACTAAGTTCGTTTTGTTCTTTACTTAGTTGTAAATGGACATGCCAGATGCTGCCTTGTTGTTGAACTGATTGAATCTTAAAAATAGCACCTATCGAAAAAAGTACTTCTTGTTCTCCAGTATCGTTAGAACACGAAGACTTTTCAAAAATTGCAAATGGTGTCATTTCTTTATTCATATTATAAATATCTATTATGAAAAGGACAGATTGTAATGGTGATGGTTCATGCAATTGATCATTTGCACCAAGAAAAAATTTAGCTAATTGTTGATTCAATGTAGTGCTTAAAAAACTATTCATTGAAATAAGTTCCTTTTCACTACGTTTAAGTAGATCAAGTTCTGTTATACTTAATAATTGACCACGGTAAACTCTTAAATGATGATCATCAATAGTGGAAGAATGATTTTTTAAATATTCATGGTAAAGTTGTTCGATCTGATTATGAAGATCATTGATGAATAATCGAAATTTAAATATGATATCAATATTTTGTGTACGCAAAGCCTTATTCAATAATCGATATACAAAACTATCTTGTGTATACCACGAAATCGCTTGTTTTGCACAATAATTTTGTTCAAACTCATTTATTTTATTTTTTTCGACTTCATTATCATGATAACTTGCTCGACACTCATCAAGCATTTCACTTTTTGAATTGCCGTATTTTGCCATTAATCGAAGAACTGTCAATATTGACCGATACCACATAAATGTAGCACTTTCTTTAGTTAATTGTTGTAATGAATTTTCTCGTTCCGTAATATGAAATATACTCATTGGTAAATCTTCATTTTTATCACATATACTAACATCATTACCAATTTTATCTAATAGTGCTGGACTTCTTGTAAATATACCAGAGATTTTTGAATATGGTTGAGTCCATGCTTCAGCGTTTTTTTTATCACCACAATATATGTATATCCCTTGTATACATGGTAATACATGTACAAGTGGTATAATATTTTGACCAAAAAAATTAGAAACAATAAGAAATACTCGTCTTGTTGTCGGTTCATCTGTTATATCATCAATACATTTATCTGGATCATCAAATGTTAGTAAATGACCTCTAACAAGTCGTCTTAAAAGTTCTTTTGTATGTTGATTAGCTCTATTTTTTTCAATATTACGATCTAACCAGATGATAACTAAATCGTCGGTTGAATTGTCAATATACTCACTTGTCATATTTTTTTCAGGCATGTGACTACAAAAATGATTTTACTTTGATTGCTTTTACCTTTTAGTTTATTATTTGTTCGTCTTTTTTTTCTCTTCTTTCTTCTATTTTCTTCTAAACAAGACGATAAGAACCTACTGCATTTTTGTAAGGGCTGACTTCTATTTAAATAGATATTCGTGTACAGGTGTGTATGCGTGTTTTTATTTTTCTTTCATGGTTTTTTCCAGTTTGTGTCAATGTTTTCTTTGAAGGTCTTCTTCCGTTTGGTATTTTTCAACTGTGTGCATGTTTTTGTTAAACATCAATAGACTTTCTTTTTTCTTCTTGGAAACTTCCAACTCTAGACGTATTATTTGTCTAGATATAGCTATTATTTTTTTTTTGAAACACGGGATCACAAGCAAGTTTCGTTGGGTAAAGATAAATTTTTTTGTTTTAAACTTTACAAATAAACTATATCCAAATGAAAATGTGTCTCCGAATTTAATAGTTCCAATGTATACAGGATGTTCTATAAATACCACTACGATAAAAAATTCAAATATCTTCGCTCCGGTTCAACCCAATGGACTGATTTTTTGGTTAGCAATAGAACTTTATTCAAGTTTTTTTTCGTGCGAATAATGTAAGCAAATACTTTTCTTAAGTATTACTGTTGACCTCAAGAAAGACATTTTATCTGTTATGATGAAAGAAAAATACATGTGAAGGCTTTCATAGATAATTTTTAGTTGTCATCTAAGACAGCAACAAGAAGAGATCAAAACAAGTTTTATAAGTGAAACAACATTGATGCACATAGACCAAATTTTCAGAACTAGCATTTTAAAATGATACAAGTCGTATCTGAAAAGTAAAACACACAATTAAGGTCCTTTGGGCATTGAATCACCAAGTTCTTCGAAAAAGTCAGTGTTCCATAGTTGAAAAATCGGAATATTACGTTCGTTGATTTTTAAACTAACTACTGTTGAAAAGTTGGTCTATTTGCATTAATGTTGTATCACTTATAAAACTTCTTTTTGATTTCTTCTTCTTGTTTTCTTAGGTGATAACTAAAAATTATCTATGAAAGCCTTCACATGCAGTTGTTTTCCTTACATAATAACAGATAAAATTTGTTTAGTGAGGATAACGATAATATTTAATACAAGTATTCACTTAGGAGATATTTGAAGTTTTTTTCGTAAGGATATTTATGGGACACCCTGTATATGACGCATTTTCATTCTTATTGAACTTCTCGATAATGGAAAAAAAGAGATAGTGGTCATTGAATATCTTTTAATGTAGAGTAACAGTTTTTCAGTAATAATACTTCGTCATGCACTATAAACGATATCTAGGAAACAGAAAAATAGGTACTCGTAAGCTATTGTGCAATTTTCAATGGAGATATTATGATCAATTCATTTTCTGTAATAGCTTTCATAGTGTCACATTCGTGTTCACGGATTTAGTGGTGGATATGAGTGTAAGGGCAAAATATGTGGCGAGTATTGTGTTGTTTTTTGATTTTGGCAACCATGGAACTGTAGGGAAATTGAGAAAAATCTCCTATGTCTCAATCCTTGGACACTGCTCAATGAATCAGACTTTTCTTTAATAGCTTTCTCCAAATTTCAGCTTACAAAAACTATTCTATATCTGTATCCATGGCAACAAAATTCCACAGTTTATAAAATTTTCCCATTGATAAAAGTTGGTGTATTTTCTATCCGAAATTTTGGTTTCGTATCTAAAAAAGTATTCTGTTTCTAGACTTGACCATGTCACACTTCAATACTGTTAGAAAGTGTTTTTAGTAAAAAACCAAAATAAGATTCAACTCTGGTAAAACATTGATTTATACTATTTTTGGTGTCATTCAATATTTTTAATCCTTCATATGTTCAGGACGTATTTTTCTTCAAAATGAACGCTGTGTGTAGACCGAAGTACGATGTGATAATGGTAAAAATGTTAACTTAAAAAACCATTCTCTTGTTGAGATATTCAATCTACAACAGAGGTACCCTCACGTAAAAAATGAGGATAATCAGTGTATTATCCATGCATTGTTTAATTCACTATTGTTCAACAACAATGTTTCAAGCCATGACATTTTGTGAGGATATACTATCGTCGCTACTCCACATATCGACTGACTCAAAACCACTTTTTGGCATGTTATGCAATATAGAGTGACTTCATAATTCTCAGATATATGGTTCTCATCTTGTAATAAAAATTTATATGTCTTATAAACGATCTATGATCTCTCACTTTGAAACTAAGTAGTACTCCTCCTTTAGCCATTAGCAACAGTTTTCAGCATACTGGCATTTTGGTTTTCACTCGAATAAAAACTTTTTCTAAGATGTGTAGATGATTTATCCAGCATAACTCATATTTACTCTCAGAGAGGCTGTTCAATCAATGACTGTTACTTTAGCTAGTTTTTACTTATATTATATAGGCCAATGTTTGATAAATTTCTACACAAGTCGTTCGAATAAATATTATTCTGTTCGCGAGATATGTAAATTTTTCTGAGAGCAATGTCACCAAAAGAGCACATTTTTGTGACATTAATATTTTATCAAGCGTGTATCCTTTTGATTTGAAATTGTTACTATGAACACATCTCAGACTAAAACATTTTTCATGAGAAAATGAAATCTTATAAATGAGTTGTTGATGAATAGACCAATATCAGTACATCTATGAAAAAACTATCACTTTTAGGTATCTTGTGCATAGTAATACTCATAAGCAGATCACGTTAAAAAACTGAAATTTGATTGATGTCGATCATTACAACAACTGAATGGATATTACAAACTCATTGAGCATTTCTCATTTATCTTTCGTTTTCTGATCATTCTGTTTCAATTGGTATCATTTCGTATGAATACTCTTTGATGATAAAAAACCATTGTAATTTCAATAAAAATGAGGAACAAATGTGTGGTACTGAGCTAATTTACAGTAAACTCATAAAGAATTGAAATTCAAAACAAAGTAAAATCGCTCAATATATGCCGAAATACCATTGCATATCGATCACGACTCAGGGAAATCCTCTTGGAGACGTTTGTCGCGTGGTATGGTAGTTTCAAAAAAGTTTTATCATTGCACTTGCTACCATCTATGATCGAGCTATTTCGCTGTGCAGTTGAACATCCATTACATTTTAGCCTTGCAGGACACCAAGCTTTGCCGATTGTAAAAGTCTGTGATTTCATGTATCGTGCATTAATGAAATATTTCCTTCGCAATTAATTTTTACATGATCATGTTTGTCTGTCTTCTTTTCTTGCATCTTTTGTATTACTTTATTCTTCTATTGTATCTGTGTCATTGATTACCGATAAACCAGAGCTGGGTATTTCCATGGAAACAATTCAATTTGGGACCCCTAAGACTGTCCACGTAATTTGTGAATTCCCTAGTAATTCACAAATTACGTGGACAGTTTTAGGGGTCCCAAATTGAATTGTTTCCATGGAAATGCCCAGCTCTGCGATAAACCTATCTCTCTGATACACACGCCCTCATACTTCAAAATCTCGCAGTAATTTCAAGAATAATTGTCATTCCGCTTTTTACAATTTACCTGCTAAAACCATTAATTCTTGTGAGTTATTTTGCTAAAATAGAAGCCTATTTCCGTAATATCATCTACTGATAGTCTCAGTAACCTTATCTACAATTTTTTTCAATATAAAAAACTATTTATACATTTAATGTTATTTTGAATGCAATGATGTTGCTTATACGTAGCCATTGCTGCTTTTTCTTTGAAGCTCTGTGACATGAGATTCATTCAGTTGTAGCAACCATTTTGGTATTTTTAATGATCGCTTATACAAAATACTTGCTCGATTAAAGTTTTATGTTGACATGTATGAAAAATTGAACAGCTATGTCTTGCTTGATGGGAGTACGTCCATGAAAATATTGGATACGTCATGAAAATAACGTTCATTACAGAGTATACACCGATTGATATTCAACTAATTTACCATAGTCGATCTCTAGTTTGTAACAGTGCATTTTGCCTCAAGAGAAGGAAGAATTTTCAATTTCTTGTAAGATGCTTTTGCTTGTTGAATTTCGAAATTATTTTTCTTTTTCATATCTTTCGTCGAAAACTTCACTTGATCAACATTAAAAATGCTCTCTGTATTAGTTTGTAGTACAGACTTACCCATTGCAAATCGTACTCTGTTATGAATAATATATTTTGAAAAGCACTTTTAAAATCAATTTCTACATTGCATTCTTTGCTATCAGTCAGTGTTAATCTTGTCAACCATTAACACAACAACTCAACTGTCAATCCAGTATTTTTCTTGAAAGTTTCAAGCGCATTTTGTTCAGCTTTTTTCCCGATGTTATTCCATAGAAGGAGAAGTCTGGTGAGTGTCTGTGTGAAAAATGAAAATGACAATGTGAGAGATAAGTAGAGAAAGATGTTCACCGTGTTATCTTGTACAGCCTCAGCTAGATATTGAACTCCTTCATCCCCGATTCGATTGCCTTGAAGATAGAGTTCTTTGAGACCCTGTATGGAAAAGTGAAGGTGAACTTGAGAGTAATCAATAAAGAAAACAGTTTACTGTATTATTTCGTAAAGCATTAGCTAGATATCGCACTCCTGCATCTTCAATTCCATTATACACAAGGTCGAGTTTAGCAAGTGTCTATGTGAAGAAGTGCATAAAGTAAGAAGAGAGATTAAGGAAGAAAGAAAATTACTGTGTTTTTGTGCAAAGCATTAGCCAAATATTGGGTTCCTGTATTTCCAATTTCATTCCAGCCTAGTTCAAGAGTGGTAAGTGTCTTTTTGAAGAAGTATCAATAGAAATTAGAAAGATTAAAAGAAAAAAAGATTACTGTGTTATTTTGTAGAACATCAGCTAACTGTCGGCCAATATTGGCTGCCATTTCATTGCGTGAGAGATTTAGTGTAGTGAGTGTCTGTATGAAGAAGTATAGAATAAAATAAGAGAGATCAAGAGAGGGAGAGAAGTTA